GGGTGCCTCATAGATACGGTAACTGCCTCCTTATGCACCTCCAGTTGTTGTGAGGAGAAGGGGGTTGAGAAGGAGCGGGCAAGGACGTGTGCAGATCGTAACGAGCTTGACCCTCCTTGGCTGTGTCAGTCATGTGCTGCTGCTGCATACGCTGCTGCATATGGTGCTGCATGCAGAGCTGCCTGCGCCTTGTGCAACTCTATTTGCCAGCGGTGATGTGTATGGAGGAACAGTGGGAAAGGAGAGGGGACAGGGGGGAGAGGGAAGCGGGAGGCAGGGAAGACAGTGAGGTGAGAAGAGATCAAGAAACGCGGCAGGGAGGAAGGGGATGGAGAGGGGACGAGAAAAGGGAGAGGCGGACGAGAAACGAGAAAAACAGGTTGCATGTGTTGCAGCTGTCGCTGGTAGCTCTTGTGGGCATCCATAACAGATGAAAACGAAAGGAACACCGGGGAGAAAGGCGGGAGGAGGAGGGAGGGGAGGGAAAGGGTGAAAGAGGCCAGGAAAATGATATATATATACAGGGTGAAATGCAGGGTGGAAGAAAAAATTGCACGTAGGGTCATGTGGGAGGACACATGGGATTGAGAAAGGAGCATGCATCAAGATGAGCCACTGATGAGCTACTGGTGAATGGGCGGAGTGAGGCCTAGCTTGTGATGGGCAGGGAGATAGTAGTCTCGTTTTGAGACGTCACAAAACTTAACTACAATCAAGTGCATCCGGACATTGAAGGAGCTACTGATGCATGATCGGGCAAGAGCAAGACCCTAGCTCTGGACGACCAGGGCTCTAGACTTTGGAGGGCTGGGCGACTGGTTGACCGTTATGACCGTTTGACTCGATCCCTGAACTACAATCCAATGCATCCGGACACTGAAGGAGCTACTGATGCATGAGCGGAGCGAGGCATGGATTGTGAAGGGCAGGGAGGTCTTACGGCCTTGAGCTTTTCGAGCTTCTCGTGCTCTTGTTTCTGCATAAACGCATTAATGGATGGATGCATGGACGCAGGGATGGAAGTAGCCACATTCCAAGTCGCATTGCACATTCAAATCCGGCAGCGCATTCCAGATCACATTCACATTCCAGCAGCATTGACACATTGGAGATCACACACACAATCGCCAGCGTCCCAGCACACAATGCCAGCACACATGCCAGCACACATGCCAGCACACATGCCAGCACACATGCCAGCACACATGACCAGCCCACACATGCCAGCACACATGCAGCACACATGCCAGCACACATGCCAGCACACAAGCCAGCACACATGTCAGCACACAAGCCAGCACACATGCAGCACACATGTCAGCACACATGCCAGCACACATGTCAGCACACATGCCAGCACACATGTCAGCACACATGCCAGCACACATGTCAGCACACATGCCAGCACACATGCCAGCAAGCATGCACAGATCAGAGGTGAACATATGCAGAAGGGAAAACACAGCTTAGTTTGAAACGAAGGATCATGTAGTCATGGGTTGCTGTGACCTATTCTCCCTCTTCTTCGTGGAGAATAACGACCCCTTTACAAGCACACACGTTTTGAGCACGCATCTGGAAGAAGACGGTGTTGACGGAGTGCTCCTCTTCCCCCAGCACCTTTACGCCATAGCTCATCGCCCTCTGCTATACCAGCTACGATGATGCACCCGAAACATACCCTTTACACGCACACTTCACCACAAGCACAATGCTTCAAAAACACGCATTTGGAAGCAGACGTTCTCGACAGAGTGCTCCTGTCCCCCCAGCGCCTTTCCCGCCATAGCTCATGGCCCTCTGTCTACCAGCTACGATGATGCGCCCGAAACATACCTTTTACACGCACACTTCGTTACGGAGCTCGATCCGTTACAAGCACGCACCTGAAAATACACGTTCTCGATGGCGTGCTCCTGCTCCCCCAGCACCTTGCTGCTCTGGCTCATCGCCCGCCGGCATACCACCTCGGTCGGGTTCGCTGGGAGACCAGCCAGGCGCCTCGCCGCGAGCCGGGCGATCTGAGAAGCCATGGCGATGAAATACCTCTGGCGAAGCGAGGCACGCACGACGATATTAGTGGAACTTCAAAGAAGCATTGAAAAAAAGGGGTCCACGAAGAGAAGCGGAAGGACACTGCAATGTTGCCTTCCTTACTCACATACAGGATTGAAAGGCGCTTCTGCTGTGCGGATTCTCCTGGTGGATGATCAGACGGAAATGGAAAGTATGGAAGAACGGATGCTAGACTCCACGAACAGTAAGGGTCTTGGCGCGAACGGTGGGAGACGGATTTGTGGTGAAGATGAGCGCGCGGAGCGGATGGATGGCGGAAAGAGCGGCGGAATAATCGGAATGGAGGACAGGAGAGTGTCAACGGCGAGAAGCTGGAATGGAATCCGTGAAATGGCATCTAGGGTTCTAGAACTTGTGGGAGGTAGGCATGTTGCGCCGATTGGGGGGGAAAGGGGGGGGGGTGGTTCGGGGAAGGGGGGATGGGGGGTGGGGGGGAAGAGATGAGAGAAGGGACAAGCGGAAGACTGGGATCGGCGGAGGGAACGAGCGGAGAACAAGGGGGAGCGGAGTGCTGGTGGTGATGCTGGGGGTGGGGTGCGGCGACATTCAATGTACGGGCGAACAATTTTATAACGGTAACTTTGCGACGCTCTTGTACCGTGGCGAAGTCACTACCCACGTCGTCAGGAAAATTTGGCTCTGGCGACGCCCCCATTCATGTTATCGCAAAACCACATCAGCAAGCGGAGGGCTGGCCCAAACGAACGATTGTTCCTCCAATCAGAGGGCCTCGAAGCTTGCTCATTGTGACGTGGAAGATCTGTCCTCCCATTTAGGCAGGCCATCCCTCCCCTTGATCTTGCGGCTGGGGCCAATAAGCGAGTTTCAATCAACAAGAGCCTACACAGCTTAGATTTCGCAGCTAATCATCGCCCATTTCGCAACTCCTCGTTAGGACTTTATGAGCTGAAGTTTGTTGTGGTTTGGGTTGGTTCTCTGACGCACTAGGTGGACCACGAGTCTCGCAATTTACGGTTACCACATAAGGAGTGAGGGAAAAGGGAAAACCTGACAGGAAATCCTGTCTGATTCAGCCGTTCTCCCCGAAGTCGCCTCGAAAGAGACGACGTTTCTCGAGTCGTCATGTGGCGCCTTGCTCGCGTTGCTTCTAGATCAGCATGCCACGCGCCGTATCTGATATCGGAGTCGCTAGCTGCTGCTGGTGGGGAGAGTTGGGCTGGCGGCTGCATAACCGGTTTAGTTTCAGACGCCACTCCCGTCTTTCGCGTGCGTTGAATCCATGACTCTTTCATCCTTTTTTTGGTCTCTCGTACCTTAACGGCGCCTCTCGGTACCGTTCATGTCTCGCGATCAGCGTTTGCATCTTCGCTTTGGTTGGTTTGATGAATACCTTGAGAGAAAATCCGGTTTCGGTAGTAATTTCTCTTGATCCTGACAGTGTCTTTTCAATGCTACGTCTTCCGCGTCTGTTTGGAGTCTGGGCTCTCAAACGGTGCATCCATGCAAAAATGGTCTGTGATTTGCCGCTTTTCAGAACATCAGGCTCCTGGCGAGTGCTCTACGTGAATCCACGTCGGCATCATCGTCAGCAGCAGCGAGCATATCACCGCCAGTTGCTGATACAGGAGGACCGCCAAGACCTAGCAGCGGTGCTACAGACCCCCCCACTACCAGCGGCAGCAGCACCACTGCTAGCAGCGTCAGGCACAGCAGCAGCAGCAGCAGCAGCAGGGGTGGAGAGGTGTTTGACGTGGCGATCGTTGGTGGGGGTCTCATTGGCGCTGCTGCAGCGTGTGCGCTGTGTAAGGCATCCAAACTACAGTGTAGTGCTGATTCATTACGATTCTTGCATTCTGCTTCCCCAGCTAAACCACAATATCCTTTTTTTTCCTATTATGGTGAGCCAGGTTACATGATTCTCTTTATCCTGATCGTATTGCTCCACGTGGTATTGCCTCCTTTAAACCCTTATCCTCCCCTCCATTCCGTCACTCATCTCCACTTGTGCTGCTGCAGCCACAAGTCGGCTAACGTAGGTGATTTCTGAGTCAACTCAAAAATCACCTCAAAAAATCACCTTTTTGAGTCGACTAAAAAATAACCCTCCCACTCCCCTACTACTCATCCTCACTTGTGCTGCTGCAGCCACAAGTCGGCTAACGCGAGACCTCCGCATCGCTCTGATCGATGCTGTTCCCCTCAGCCAGACACCGCAAACAACTACCACGACCAGCAGCAGCAGCAGCAGCAGTAGCAGTCCCGCACCTGATGCCAGGGTGATTGCCGTCAACCCCTCATCCATCGACCTCCTGAAACGTGAGTATCCGGCTAGCTTCTTACATTGTAAGCTCGAAGTGGACAGAAGCACAAATCAAGACGCACAAGATCGTCCCCGTATACTTGTTTTCTGCAGCTGCTGCACTGAAGAACTCTTTTTTCCCAACCTCGCAGGTGTGGGGGTTTGGAATGACATTGCGTCTGACACTGTTCGTGCTGCTCCGTTCCAACACATGCAGGTGTGTGCCATGTTCACTGGTTTACCGTTTTATGGAGGGTGTGTGGGTGTGTGTGTGTGTGTGTGTGTGTATGTGTGTGTGTGTGTGTGTGCTGTGTGTGTATGTGCGTGTGTGCGTGCCCGTGCGTGTGCACAGTTCGCCCTTGCTTATCGCATACAGTTCAAGCTTGTCTCATCCCATGCATCCCTGATTGCATCCCTGATTGCATCCCTGATTGCATCCCTGATCGCATCCCTGATCGCATCCCTGATCGCATCCCTGATCGCATCCCTGATCGCATCCCTGATCGCATCCCTGATCGCATCCCTGATCGCATCCCTGATCGCATCCCTGATCGCATCCCTGATCGCATCCCTGATCGCATCCCTGATCGCATCCCTGATCGCATCCCTGATCGCATCCCCGATCGCATCCCTGATCGCATCCCTGATCGCATCCCCGATCGCACCCCGCATCCCCCTGATCGCATCCCTGATCGCATCCCTGATCGCATCCCCTGATCGCATCCCTGATCGCATCCCTGATCGCATCCCTGATCGCATCCCTGATCGCATCCCCTGATCGCATCCCTGATCGCATCCCTGATCGCATCCCTGATCGCATCCCTGATCGCATCCCTGATCGCATCCCTGATCGCATCCCTGATCGCATCCCTGATCGCATCCCTGATCGCATCCCTGATCGCATCCCTGATCGCATCCCTGATCGCATCCCTGATCGCATCCCTGATCGCATCCCTGATCGCATCCCTGATCGCATCCCTGATCGCATCCCTGATCGCATCCCTGATCGCATCCCTGATCGCATCCCTGATCGCATCCCTGATCGCATCCCTGATCGCATCCCTGATCGCATCCCTGATCGCATCCCTGATCGCATCCCTGATCGCATCCCCTGATCGCATCCCTGATTGCATCCCTGATTGCATCCCTGATTGCATCTGATGGCCTGATTGCAGCCCTGATTGCATCCCTGATTGCATGCTGCGCCACGTGTCACTCCCCATTCACCCCTGCTCCCGAGTCTGTCTCTCTGCGTTCCCAGCTCTTCCTCTCATCTGGACGTCTTCTGAGTCGGCTCAAAAGTCACCCCTGCTCTCGAGTCTGTCTATCTGCGTGCCCTGCTCGTTCTCTCGTCCCTCTCTAGGTGTGGGACTTTGCCGGCCCAGGTTTCATTCGCTTCAATGCTTCTGACAGCCGACTCCCGCACCTAGGGTGAGCGCCCTCTTTCATGCCGTGACATGCCAAGCAGTACCCTACCATGCCTCCACCATACTTCATGGGTCCTGGTTCCGTCCGCTTCATTGTTATACCGCAACGTGTTGTGCTGGGCTATGCTGTGCCATGCCATGCCATGCCATTTTGCATTTCCTCAATGCCCCTGTGACGTGCCGTTGTGTTGTTCATCACGCATGCTGCTCCTTGCTTTTTTCTTCCGCCGATTCCCAACTGCTCAACTTTCATTCACCAATCATTCCCCTTTCTTTACAACCACTGCCCCCCCCCAACCACCCTCTTTCCATACTCAGGTACATAGTTGAGAATAAGCTGATCGTATCTAGCCTCCTTCGAAGAATACAGGTGTGTCTGCGAATCAGGAGAACCTTCGAAGTGCAGTGTCAACCTGCTATCTGCCATTGTAATTTTGGCAGACACACCTGTGAGATGGCTGTCTGTGCTGTGACTTCAGGGATCTTCGGACTTTGAAGTCGTGTGTTAGATCCACTCACCGATCTCTGTCGGTGCCTCTTCCAAGTGGCAGTGCGCATTTGATCTATTCATCAATTTCATACAGCACTTCCATCTTTTCCCCGTTCGGCATGCATCCTTGCACATCCATGCACACGTCATCTCACACTCACACCCGTGCCTCTTTCCCCATGTGCTCCCATGCAGGCCCATCCCTCAGTCTCTCTCATCGCTCCAGCAAAGCTCCAAACCATCAAATGGCCAAAGCCATATGACTCCTTTCCCACTGTCACTCACAATTCAGTCAAATCTGAATCAGGGCCTCTTGGCCCCTTAGGCAGCAGTGGGGACGGGGATGGGGATGGGGATGGTTTAGCAGAGATCCACTTTGAGAGTCGCCCACCCATTCAAGCAAGGCTTGTGGTAAGCCCCTTCGTCTCTTCCTCCTATGTCACCCCCTTGATCAAATCGCTGCTTGTTGCCTTTGGTTGCCTTTGGTTGCCTGTTCACCTGATCCCCTTACCCCCCCTCCGTCTCTCATTTTTATCATCAATTGGTCCTTCGTATCACCTCTTTTGTATCATCCCATCCCTCCCCCCCACCTCCTCCTTCCCCTCCCCACCTCTTCTCAGATCGGAGCCGATGGTTCTCGATCTCGTGTCCGCTCCCTTGCAGGCCTCCGCACCGTCGGATGGCCGTATCACCAGCGAGGTGTGATCTCCACCGTCGATCTCGCCTCTCCCAGCATCACAGCCTGGCAGCGGTTCCTCCCCTCAGGCCCCCTCGCCCTCCTCCCCCTGGGCGATAACTTCAGCAATGTTGTGTGGTCAACCACCGAAGAGCACGCCCTTAAGCTACAATCTATGAGCCCAGGAGAATTCGCTGGTGCGGTTAATGAGGCGTTCCGGAAGGACTTTGCTTCGCCTGGGCTATCCCAAGGGACTTTGAAGCTGCCTTTTGTGCCCTCGTCTGCTGCTGCTGGTGCTGCTGGTGCTGCCGCTGCTACCTCGGGTGCTGCTGCTGCCGTGGCAGCAGCTGCCAGTGCTGTTTCTGCTGCAGCTGCCGCAGCAGGGAATCTTGCTGCGGCCTCCCTATCCTCTGCGCTTGCATCAGCAACCCCCTTACAGTCACTCTTTGCACAAGCCCCCACCAATCCCTTATAC